ATCTTTTTAAAATTAAAAAAAAATTAAATTTGGGAAATGTGAATAATATAAAAAGACCGAAACTCCAATAAATAAAGCCTAGCAGGTCCTGCTCAGCCTTGCCAGCATGAGGGTCAAAGGCAAGCAATTGCCATTAACATTTTGAAAACGGGGGTCTGGTATTGACAAGAGAGAAAGAGAAAAATATTTGAGAAAAGAAAAAGGAAAAAACCCTTTTTAAGCCTATAAATTTATCCAATATTTACGCCTTTGAACTAAAAATGATGTAATTAATTAAGCCCTTCAACTTAGATTTGTAGCAAAAGTGCCGACATCTATATTATTGTATTGACACTCTAAGTAATTTTCAACTTAAAAAACTTGTATTTTTAATTTAATCTTATTTTTTTGATACTTCCTTTTGCCCCAATTAATTTGGAATTAATTCAAGTCAGATTTTATAAGGAGAAAACTCTTTTAGTACTTATCTCTCTATTTATAATAATCAAACTTAAAAATTTATTTTAAAAAAATTAAATTCTTTTTATTTAAACACAAAGGTCTTTTTATTTAAATACAAAGGTCGTTAAAAATTTTGTTCTATTTTGTTACTAGAGTTTTTTTAAAATAGATCAAAATCTGGAGTTTAATTATAAAATAATTATATATTTCATTTTCATTAATAAAAATTAAAGATACCACATACATTGTTTATGAATCATACATTACAAAAGAGCAATATATGTGATATCTTTAACTTTTATTAATGAAAATGAAATATGTAATTATTTTATAATTAAACTCAATATTTTGATCTATTTTAAAAAACTCTAGTAAAATAGTAGAACAAAATTCCTAACGACTTTTGTGTTTAAATAAAAAGAATTTAATTTTTTTAAATAAACTTTGAAATTTGAGTATTATAAATAGAGAAATAAGTATTGAAAGAGTTTTTTCCTCATGAGATTTAACTTCAATTGATTCAACTTCAATTGATTCCAAATTAATTAGGGCAAAGGGAAGCACAAAAAAAATAAGATTAAATTAAAAATACAAGTTTTCTAAACTGAAAATTACTTAGAGTCTCAACACCATAATATAGGTGTCGGCACTTTTGCTACAAATCTAAGTTGAAGGATTTATTTGCACCAGTTGAGGGGTTGAAGGGTTTAATTGTGTCATTTTTAGTTTAAGAGCTTAAATGTTAATTTGGAGTAAGTTCAGGAGCTTAAGAAGCGTTTTTGTCGAAAAAAAAACGTGCAACTATGAACTTTTTTCATGCGTAAATTATTTTTATAAAAAATAAAATTAATTTTTTACAAATATTTTTACTATACTGTAGAAGATGAGGAAAGGG